AAGTTTGAAGTGGTCTCCCACTTCAATCCACGGGCGCACAGGAAGAAAATGGTAAAACTCCCACGCATATTTCTCTCTCTTCTTCTTCTTTCTTTCTTTCTTCTTCTCCTCCCTCCTCCTCCTCTTCTTCTTCTTCTGTGTCATCTTCATCGTCTAACTTCTTCTTTTTTTAAGATGGAGTCTCACTCTGTTATCCAGGCTGGAGTGCAGTGGTGCAATCTCAGCTCACTGCAACCTCCACCTCCTGGGTTCAAGCAGTTCTCCTGCCTCAGCCTCCCAGCTGGGATTACAGGAGCACGCCGCCACATCCGGTTATTTTTTATTTTATTTTATTTTTGTATTTTTAGTAGAGATGGGGTTTTACCATGTTGTCCAGGCTGGTCTTGAACTCCTGACCTCAGGTGATCTGCCTGCCTCAGCCTCCCAAAGTGCTGGGATTATAGGCGTGAGTCACTGTGCCTGGCCTATCTCACTTCTTTAAATGTCTGTTTTTTAGTGTCTATGAAGCCACCAAGGCTCAGAGAGGTTGAGTAACTCATGCAAGGTCACACAGCTACTAAGTGTACCTGACTTCAAAACCCTGCTGTGTTCTTCACATATGCTGAATCTTGTGCAGACAGATAAGGGCTTGGGTGGGGGCAGAGGCAAGTCTAGAGGAGGGTGGCTGGGAGAGCAGGCAGCTCCTGGCTGTTTCTGCCACTGTGGGCAGAGGTTAAGGAGCCTACCCTGGCCTGCTCACTAGGTCTACAGGACCTGTTGGGAAACATGGAAGCAGGGAGTCCCGGTGAGGGCAGGCCTGCTGTACAAAGTGCCTCGTCCCAGGCTTCACCATTCAGGCTTGCTTGTGAGCAGAATCCCGAGGCAGGGATGGGGAGGACCAGGGGCTGAGAGGTCAGGATGAGATGACAGAGAGGGATAGGGATGAGTTGGGGGGTGTCACTCAGACTCTGGGCGCAGCTGGCAGGGGTAGGTCAGCCACTCTGCCACCCACCCACACTCATGCCGACTCCATGGCCAAGGGAACCCACCTTCCAGCCCCGCCCTGCCTTCCCACACTCCACTGTGCTGGGTTTAGGGGTGATTTTACCTTCTGATTTATACCTCTACAGAAGGCAATTACCGGCTGGGCAAGGTGGCTCATGCCTGTAATCCCAGCACTTTGGGAGGCCGAGGCAGGAGGATCACCTGAGATCGGGAGTTTGAGACCAGCCTGACCAACATGGAGAAACCCCGTCTGTACTAAAAATGCAAAATTAGCCGGGCATGGAGGCACGTGCCTGTAATCCCAGCTACTTGGGAGGCTGAGGCAGGAGAATTGCTTGAACCCGGAGGTGGAGGTTGTGGTAAGTCAAGATCGTGCCATTGCGCTCCAGCCTGGGCAACAAGAGCGAAACTCTGTCTCAAAAACAAAACAAAACAAAATACGCACACACACACATATACACACACACACATACACACACATATATATCACCTAGACAGAAAAATGCGTATCTCCTAACAGTATAGCATGATGAAGTTTTACAAACTGAACACAGGCAAGGGTAACTAGAACCCAGTTTAAGAAACAAAACATCCTGGTCAACATAGTGAAACCCCATCTTTTCTAAAAATACAAAAATTAGCCAAGTGTGGTGGTGCACGCCTGTAATCCCAGCTACTCAAGAGGCTGAGGCGAAAGAATCGCTTGAACCCAAGAGGTGGAGGTTGCAATGAGCCAAGATTGTGCCACTGCACTCCAGCCTGGTGACAGAGCGAGACTCCGTCTCAAAAAGAAAAAAAAAAAAAAGAAACAAAACATTTATCAGCCCCTAGAGGACCCCCTCATTTCCCTTCTAGTCACTATCCCTAATCAGTAAAAGCCATCCTAACTTCTAACACCATAGATTCGTTTTGTCTGTTTTTGAACTTTATACACGTGGGATCACCTGGTCAGTGTTCTTTTGTGTCTGGTTTCTATTTGTTCAGCATTAGGCTCGGGCTATGTAGTGGTCCCCCCATCACATGCAGCTGATTGATTGTTCCCAGTGTTATCTTTTGAATAATGCCACTATGAATATTTGTGTATGTTTCTTTGCTTTTCTGTTGAGTATATATCTAGGGTATGCATGTGTTCAACTTAAACTCTTTTCACTTTTTTTTTTTTTTGAGATGAAGTCTTGCTCTGTCACCCAGGCTGGAGTGTAGTGGTACGATCTTGGCACACTGCAACCTCTGCCTGCCAGGTTCAAGCGATTCTCCTGCCTCAGCCTTCAGAGTATCTGGGACTACAGGTGTGCGCTACCACACCCAGCTAATTTTTGTATCTTTTTTTTTTTTTAGTAGAAACAGGGTTTTGCCATGTTGGCCAGGCTGGTCTTGAACTCCTGACCTCAGGTGACCTGTCTGCCTCAGCCTCCCAAAGTGCTGGGATTACAGGCATGAACCACCTTGCCCAGCATTTTTTTTTTTTTTTTTTTTTTTTTGAGATGGAGTTTCGCTCTTGTTGCCCAGGCTGGAGTGCAGTGATGCAATCATAGTCAGCTGCAGCCTCCAACTCCTGGGCTCAAGTGATCCTTGCACTTCAACCTTCCAGAGCATTGGGATTACAGGCGGGAGCCACTGTGCTAAATCTGTTCTATATTAAGTCAGCCTCTCTTGGGAGACTAGCAGCCAGCCCTACCCCACAGGGATCCCTGCTCCTCCGACCTCCTCTAATACATGTTCTTTCCTCTGTTTGGCACTCAGGAGTTACCTCTGTCCAGTACCACTTGGATGTCCAGAAGGGAGCCAGGGCCTGGACAATCACGCACAGATGCTAATTGTGGTACCAGGAAACTCCTGGTACATATGATTAAGGCGATAAGATGTCCTCCTTATAAGCTTAAAATATGGCATATTAATATCAAGTATGCGTTTACAAATAACACATATCCCCTCCTGTAGAAAACTGTAGTATGCCAGAGAGGGAGGGACTTGAGGGTAGGGTGGGAAAGGGAGGGAGAAGCGCCTCTTCCTTATCTGTCTTAAGAATCTCTCATGGAGACAAAAGACCAAAGCATTTGGAGAAGCCTCCTGATTTCAGCTCTAATTCTGCCATTTAGTAACTGTAGAGTGTTGGGCAGATCAGCTCATCTCCTGGGGCCTCTGTTGATTAAATGAAGATGATACCATCCTTTTTTTGAGATGGAGTTTCGCTCTTGTCCTCTAGGCTGGAGTGCAATGGCAGATCTCGGCTCACTGCAACCTCCGCCTCCCAGGTTCAAGCGATTCTCCTGCCTCAGCCTCTTGAATAGCTGGGATTACAGGCATGTGCTACCACACCCGGCTAATTATTGTATTTTTAGTAGAGATGGGGTTTCACCATGTTGGCCAGGCAGGTCTCAAACTCCTGACCTCAAGTGTTCCGCCCACCTCCGCCTCCCAAAGCGCTGGGATTACAGGCGAGAGCCACTGCACCTGGCCTTAGATGATGCCATCCTTGAAGGATGTGGGGAATCCACAAAACCTCATCAGTATGCGACTGTCAGTGAGGGTAACCTGTGAGGTGTGCGTACGTGCACACACACTTGGTGAGAATTGGTTTATTAAATTGTCAGCCCCTTAGAATACTGAGCTGGTAAACAGACCTTACCCTTTGATAAAGAATTAAAGGGATAAGCTCATACAAATTCATAATCAGTCGAGCTTAGTGCTCCCTGTGTGTGCCAAGCTACTGGGGAAGCTGAGGGAGAAGATGCTTGAGCTCAGGAAATTGAGGCTGCAGTGAGCTATGATTGTGCCACTGCACTCCAGCCTGGGTGATAGAGCAAGACCCTATCTCTAAGAGAAAAAGAATTCCTGAAGAAAAGCACTGGAAAGGACTCAAAAGGAATCAAAGTCATTAGTGTCCTTGACAGGTCTCCCCCAGCTTCTCTTTCCCAAGGGTCTCCTGGTAAAAATGCCCATGTCCCCACCATAGCAGACCCCTTAAGTCATGAGACTTCAATATGAAATCGGGAAAAAGTAAAACAAAGAAGAAAAGAGAAAGGGTACGCAGAAGCAGAGAAGAGGAGTTCGCAGAGGACAGAGGCTTATCCCCTGAGGACCACGGTCATCTCCAGCAGTGCGGGGTGAGGACCTGGGCGGATGGGGAGGGGCTGTGACAGGTGTGGCTCCCACATCTCAGAGGGCTCGGCTGAGGCCCTGGCCCTGGGTTCAGACCTGGGCACTCCTGAGGGAGTGGAATGGCAGCGGGACCCGCCTGCCCACCCAGAACCATGACCTCTGGATGTGCTTTCCCCATAGCTACCCACCTTCACCCAAAACATTACTGGGCTGAAGAGCCAGCTCCCCTGGGGTGACCTCTGCTGAAGCCACACTCAGAGGAGACCTCTCACTCCTTGACCCACGGGGAGGGGCAATGGTGAAGGGAGTGAGTCCTTGAACTTTCTGCCCCAGGAATTCCCAGATGTTTGTGTACCCAGTATTGCCCAAGGTAAGACAGAGCTTGGGAAAAACGAGGAGGCCTCTGCGGCACGGAGGGTCCAATCTGCTGGCAGAGACAGAAAACGGCATGTGTCATGTGTGTCACGTGTGGAGGCAGCAGCTCAGTGCCACTAAGAATAGTCGGGGTCGGGGAAGGAGAAGGCTCAGACAGACCCCAGGGACCAAGCGAACTCAGGGAGTTATTTGAGGTCGGAGGTTAGGGAAGGCCCTCAGGATGTCGCCGGGATTGGTGGGGGTTGGGGGGTGGGGGTGGGGTCTACACTGGGGTCTCTGTGCCCCTGGCGCCTCTGTCCCTACTACCTGGGACTGGGTCTCACCGCAGGGTCGCCTCCCTGCCCCCCGCCCCTCATTCCCGGCGGCTGGCCTCGGATCCTCCCCCGCGGCGGTTCTCGTGCCGCACGGGGCCGGGCCCGGGTCTCCGGAGAGCACAGCAGAGGAGGCAGGGTGTCTAGCACCTTGACCCCGTGGGCGGTTGTCCCCTGGAGGCTCGTGACTCCGCCCCGGCCCGCCCCGCCTCGCCTGCGCCGCAGACACCCGCCTCGCCCTCCAGTCCTCCGTGCGCGCCGGGCCCGAGCCCACGGAACCCACGGGGCCCACGGAGCCCAGGTAGCCCATGGAACCCGCGCGGAGCGCGCCCCAGCGGGGCGAGGCGCTGCTGCGGGAGCTAGAGGTGCTGGTCCAGGACGTGGTGAGGATGAGCTCCTGGTGGGAGCGCCACGGCGTGGACTGCGCCATCCTCGCGCTCAGCCTCCTCGCCTTGCCGGCCGGTGAGGGACGTCAGGACCTGGCAACCCCGCCGGGCTGCGGGTGGGGGCGGGTGCGGCGGAGGTGGCGGCGCGAGCTCTGGGAGCGCAGCCGGGCAGAGTGGACCGGCGGCGGCAGGCAGGCGGGGGTGGCCGGGTGACCCCAGGATGGAGGGTCACACCAAACCCGAGAGTCTGGACTGGTGTGTCCTGCCCTGTGTTCCCGAGGAGCTGGGCGCAGGAGGAGGGAGGGAGTCTGATGGCAGGAGGGTGGTGGAAGGGAAAGTCCAGGTGGGGGCGGGGAGTGACGGGAGGGATGAGATGTGACTGGAGAGGGGGTGGGAGTTTCCCCTGGCACCTTCCTGGTCTGGAACACCCACGGTACCTGAGGCCCCCTCACTGCTTTGGCTGGGGGCCCAGGAGGGAAACCACGGGAGAGTCAGGACCACTGGAGGGGCAATCCTGGTCCCCCTCAGGCCACAGTGGAACCTGCCTCGTCCCGCCTGTGGCAGCCCCCGGAGCCTGGTCCACTTTAATTTGGGCTCCCAGGGTAGGGGTTGAGGTGTTTGGGCCCGATCACCCAGAGCTAGAGAAAGACCCGGTCCTCTTCCTCCTCCCCACGCAGGGTTCCTGTGCCTGCGCTCTGAGAATGCCCTGGTCTTTTCGTCGGGCATCACCGTCTTGGGTGTGTGCCACTATACGCTCACTGTCAAAGGCAGCCACCTGGCCACTCATGGGGCCCTAACGGAGTCCAAACGCTGGAGCAAGATCTGGCTGCTTTTCTTTGTGGAGGTGAGCCTGGGAGAAGGAGGATGTGAGCAGCTGCTGGGACCATGTGGGAAACCTCATTCTTCTGTGCAAGCATGTGCGTGTGTCCAGGTGTGCGTGTGCCCGCAGGGCAGGTGGCTGCGGCTGATGGTATGTGGGTCCACGTGTGCGGTATGCACTACAGTGTGTCTGTGCACTTCACCAAGCCCTTGAGAGGGTGTTTGCACCCCATGGTAGAAAACTGCACGATGAGTATGCGACTTTCTTGGCCCACAGGTCCAACCACTGGGGCCTCCAGGTTTTGCAATCAGGGTTTAAAATGTGAGCCACTGACAGGAGGGTGGGGGGAGGGGCCCTTCACTCCGGATGCTGCTCCTCTGATGCTGGGCCATGGTCCAGGCTTCCTGAGATGCCCCCTGATCCCCGGGGTCAGCTCCAGGAAGGACCCACCTCACCTGACCCTTGCCCTCTCTTCTTCCACCCCTTGCCAGTTCTGCCTTGGCCTTCCTACCTTCGGGCAAGGCCAGGAAGGCAAAGGTTTCTGACCAGCTTGTCTTTCTCTCTTAACTGGTCTCCAAGCCTCTCCAGTTCCTCTGCTGAACTTGCTCCCTCCTCCTTTCTAGGGGGACCGTTGCCTGGCCACCCAGGTGATGGTCCCCCTGAATAAATAAATGGCCACACCTTATGAATAGATAGGAAAGCTGGGACCAGAAACAATTCTCTTCTGGAAGCACTGGTTATTGTGACCAAATAACTTAATTATTAAGTTTTTTTTTTTTTTTTTTTTTTTTTTTTGAGACAGAGTTTCGCTCTTGTTACCCAGGCTGGAGTGCAATGGCGCGATCTCGGCTCACCGCAACCTCTGCTTCGTAGGTTTAGGCAATTCTCCTGCCTCAGCCTCCTGAGTAGCTGGGATTACAGGCACGTGCCACCATGCCCAGCTGAATTTTTGTATTTTTAGTAGAGACGGGGTTTCACCATGTTGACCAGGATGGTCTCGATCTCTTGACCTCGTGATCCACCCGCCTCGGCCTCCCAAAGTGCTGGGATTACAGGCGTGAGCCACCGCGCCCGGCCTAATTATTAAGTTTTTATAAAGTTACATGACTTTATATAACTATCTACACACACATATATCTGTATATCTATAATACTATCCACGCAGCTGAGTGGATGAAGCATTTCTCACCTAGCACTGTCATATCCCCTGTGCCTTCCCCTTCCCTGCCCTTCTCACCAGCACACACAGCTAAAGTGTTAAAGACAAGAGGAACCCACAGGCTTCTGATCATTAGGGTCAATTTCAAGACAGTTCCTTTCCCTGGGAGCCCTGAGCATTGGTCCTGGCCAGACTCTTAGACACCGGCCAGGCCCTGGAGTCTGGGTCAGCTGCCTGCCAAGTCTGTAATCCACAGAGAGGCAAGGGAGACATTGGACTGTGCTGGTGACATGGACTGTGTCATAACGCTGGGTCACGGGGCAGAATGAGCTATGTTTGCATTGTTTAAAAAAAGCTGTACCGAGTGCCAGGAGCCTGGAGGCAGCTGAGGATGAGGAGCAGGTATCCAGACTTTGGGACTGCTTGGCTGTAAGGGATTTATTGCACAGAGCTAACCTAGTGGTTCTCAAACTTTGGTGTTCGAGACCCGGCCGGGCTGCTGGTGGGGGCGGGGGCGGCAGAGGTGGTGGCGCTGGCTCTGCTGCAGCAGCCGGTGGGTGCGCAGGTGGGCAGAGTGGACTGGCGGTGGCGGGCAGGAGGAGGTGGCCAGGTGACTGCAGGATAGAGGGTCACACCCGAACCAGAGCGTCTGGACAGGTGTGTCCTGCCCTGCGTCCCCTAGGAGCGGGGCTCAGGAGGAGGGAGGGAGTCTGGTGGCAGAATGACCTGAAGGCCCCGGCTTGCTAGAGAAGTGGACTTGGGCCACTGTGTGTTCACCAAGTTCCACAGGTGAATCTGATACACAACACCAAAGTGTTATACCCACATGGTAGCTATCACGTGTGCCAAATGAAGGCAGGAGGCCAAGGACGCCTCCTCTGAGAGGCTTTCCTGCGGGAGCTCTCCACCCGAAACCCAGCACTAAGGAGATACCCAGGTAGCCTTAGGGCCGCATTCTGCTTGTGAATGCTGACTTTTCCCCATAAGCCCGGTGGCTTCATCTTTTTGATGCTTTTATTCTTCAGCTTCTGGCACAGACCTGAGCTCTTGCTAGGCCTTCTATCAATATTTGTTGACGATGACCCTGCAGTTGTCTAGGGAGCCAGGTCCAGGCCTGCAAGGCCCCTGGAAGCTGGGGAGGGAAGGCTTGGCTCCCGCCTCATGTGGTGTGACAGGTGGGCTGCAGTGGGCTGAGGAACAGGGCCTGAGTAGTTTATCGCTGAAGCCTCCGACTAACCTACATGGGATGCGTCTTCATTTTTTTCATCCCACAGTTTCGCTCCAGCTACCCTCTGGGAGGGCCCAGCCCCAGTGTGGGGGAACGGGTGGACCAGGTTTCCCAGTCTGGCTGGTGTCGGTGAGGCAAGTGCAGAGCTGGAGGAGGGTGCTGGTCTTGTCTGCCAGGCAGGGTGGTGTCGAGGACAGTGTCTGGGGTTCACGCCTGTAATCCTAGCACTTTGGGAGGCCGAGGCAGGCAGATCACCTGAGGTCAGGAGTTCAAGATCAGCCTTTGAAGCAGTGGTTTCTGGTGCATGCTGCATCCCATGCTGCACAAGGGTTCAAAGACCTCAGAGGGAACAGTGGGGGATAAAGAAAGACACAGACATAGACATAGAGAAAGCTGGGCCAGGTGGTCCAGGAGGTGAGGATGTCAGTCTCTCTGGCCGACCTGTCTCAAGAGTACTTTATTTTATATGTTTCCAAAGCACACAGCAGAGGGAGGTTGCAGTTACTTAGAACAGCCTGTGGTTATAATTCTCATACTTCAGTTCACATACTTCAGCTAACAACTATCTTGCAGCAAGATCAGTGAAAGCTGGTTATCTCTCCAGGCCTGTCTCTGTTCTATTCCAAGACATACACATCCTCCTATTGTGGTTTTACTTCTCTGGAGTTCACCCCAAGTTCACAGCAGCCTTGCTGCTGATCCCCTAGAGAGGGTGGGCTACTCTGGCTCTCTAAGCTCCACTGGCTGCCCTGACCTTGAGCAAGTTACTTAATTCAACATTTAAGTGTCACTTTCCTCACCTAATAAACAGGAGAAATAACAGGACCCCCCTCATGAGGCCAGCATGTGGATTAAACGTAGCAGTGCAGACCTTAACGGAGGGCGTGATCCTGACATGCTTCACCAGTGTGGTCATCACTTTCTTTCTCTGGAGTTAACGTGGTCAGCTGCAAGGAAAGGGTTAGCAGTTGTTTTTGCTCTGTTCGTTTTTTTTTTTTTTTTTTTAAGACAGAATCTTGCTCTGTTGCCCAGGCTAGAGTGCAATGATGCAGTCTTGTCTCACTGCAACCTCCACCTCCCGGGTTCAAGCAATTCTCCCACCTCAGCCTCCCCAGTAGCTGGGACTACAGGCACGGTGCTGCCATCATGCCTGGTTAATTTTTTGTGTGTATTTTTGTAGAGACGGGGTTTCACCATGTTGCCAGGCTGGTCTTGAACTCCTGATCTCATGTGAGCCACCTGCCTTGGCCTCCCAAAGTGCTGGGATTACAGGCGTGAACCACAGCGCCCGGCCTGTTGTTGTTGCTGCTTTTTTTTTTTTTTTTTTTTTGTGAGACGGAGTTTCGCTCTTGTTACCCAGACTGGAGTGCAATGGCGCGATCTCGGCTCACCGCAACCTCCGCCTCCTGGGTTCAGGCAATTCTCCTGCCTCAGCCTCCCCAGCAGCTGGGATTACAGGCACACGCCACCATGCCCAGCTACTTTTTTGTATTTTTAGTTGAGACGGGGTTTCACCATGTTGACCAGGATGGTCTCGATCTCTTGACCTCGTGATCCACCCGCCTCGGCCTCCCAAAGTGCTGGGATTACAGGCTTGAGCCACCACGCCCGGCCCGTTGCTGCCTTTTTAACTGCAAGTTTGCAAAGCTTGACAGAGCTGTGTATATGTTGGGGGTTGGATGCTGTGTCCTCTGGGCCTCTGCAGGGCGCAGAGGACAAGTTCTTGCTGCCTAGGACCTCAGAGGATGCCCTGGGACCCTTCCTAGATCTCTGACTCTTCTCCCGCGTCTTGGTGTCTTCTCTCTTAGGATCCTTCCTTGGGGGGTACCTGTGCTCTTCCCAAACCTTGACGCTCAGGAGACATCATCGCTGCAGAATAATGTAGCCTATAGACCTAGGTTCTTTTCGGTGTTTGGCAAATACTGCAGCCTCAGGCATTAACTGAGTATCACTGGCTCTCCTGGGCGCTCAGCTTTTGCTGGGATTGTCTCAGGGTTTACCAGCTCCAAGTTGGGCCATGGGATCTGGGGGAGGGGCAGACAGGCTGGAGGGGGAGGCTTCCATTTCTGTTCTGCATAGGAAAGTTCTATCTCCGACCTCCTCTACAGCCTCTGATAACCCTGGCCTTGCCCAGTGAGAGTACCTGCCCAGCCCTGTCCTGGGTCACCATGGGGACTGCCAGGCGTCTTCTCGGGGACTGTCAGTGAAGGGGACTGCACCATGCTCAGATGGCCACGGGAAGGTGGGGGGCAGTGTGGGGTGGGCAGGCCCCCGTAACTTAAGCCCTGAAGTTTGGGAAGGATTAACTCCTGAAGTCAGACGGCTTTGGGGACTCTCCTGCATGTCACTCACAATCCAAGATGCTCCCCTGAGTGGGAGGGAACAGGCCCTGCCGGTTCCTAATCTCCGGTGGTGTCTCCGCTTCAAATCCTTGTGAAGTCAGCTTTGTGCTGCAGGGGCGGGGCCACCACTGCTGGACGGGAGCTCTGCTGTGAGGGAGGGATGCCTCATAGGGGAACGCCATCACCTTCCTTCAGTCCTCTTGTGGGGGTAGAAACAGGGCCGTGAACCCCCAGGCTAGTCATGATCCTGGAATGTTCTCTTCTCACAGGAGTTCAATGTGGCCATTATCCTCCG